TTAGGGATCAGGGTTAAAGGTTTAGGGTATGTGTATTAGGGGGCACATTTTTTCAGGGCGGTGTCTGTGAGGTGACTGGGGTATTTCTTTGTGGCGAAGCCAGGTAAGATTGCACTCTTCTCGTGAAGTACTACAGCCAAAAGGAAAGTAGAAGCCTAAACCTAAACTTTATCTTAGATCCTAACATATGCATTCAATTTAAAAGGCTACACAAATGTGAATTCCGAAGGCGTGTTCTAGGCTCTAGGGCTTGGAGCTGAGTAGGTGAACAGCGCCTGTAATCTCTACTATAGTAAACCTAAGTCTCCAAACTACTAACCTACTTAAAACTACCCCCCCCCCCCCTTNNCCCTACATACTATAGTGGTTTCCATTTCTTTTCCTTTATCATTATTATTACTAAATTTACTAAGTCCCCCATAAGACCGTAGACTCTTAACCTTCATTACTTCGAATGGTAGTTGCATTTTTGCCGTTCCCTACTAGATCCTCCATAAGATTCTCCAAGCAATGTCAGCTAAAACCTTTAACCCTAAACCCCAAACCCTAAAACCCCAAACCCTAAACCCCAAGCCCTAAACCCAAAACCCTAACCCCTAAACCGCGTATATAATTCCGGCTGAAACCGTCACCTTGGGAAGATCTTGCCGCGCCACATCTTGCAAAGTCCTGGCATGGTGGGGGCTTAGGGCCACAATCACATGCTATCGTTTGGGGTTCAGGGTTTGGGATTTTGGATCTAGGGTTTCAAGTTTTGGGTTTAGGGTGCAGGGTTTAAGGTTTTGGGTTGAAGCTTTATATGGTTTTGGGTTTGTAGTGTTAGGGTCTGGGGATACGCTGGGTCAGGGAAACTGAAGTAGGCTACCACGGGAAAGCCGTGACGTGACTGAAGACAATCTCACCCTTTTCGCGGGACATGCTTCTATGGGCCTGCGCCAATGCCCACCGGAATTTTGCCTTGGGCCATGTCTTGGTGAAGCTATATGTCCTCGAGGGGAATCTCCGCCCCGGGCACTTCCATATGAAGGTTGCAGAAAACATAAGTATCTTGAAGAACTAGGGATATGTAGAAGTCATGGGGAGGGTACCTGCTGGGGATTGTTTTAGGCCACCACCCAGATTCAAACATGGGCGAAGAAGATGTGATGAATTGCACAAGAGCATGGGCCGTGAGCATTTGAAATCAGCTATGACGATTGGGTCTCTACGAAAGCATCGTGCCTTCCCTACGTGGTCAGTTCCCCAAAGCAATAACGACGGAACCTCTGGAAAGCCGGAAAAACACTACCCACTTTGCGAAACCACCTTATGTAAGACGGGAAGCAAGGTTTAGGACCCATCATATGACCCTATCACTGTCGCAGGACTCTTCTTTGATCCTTGTCATAGGGGTTTGGGTTGACAAGAGTCCTCACATTCCGGTCAATATTCTGGTGCAAAGCAAGGGTAATATGCGCACTCACGGCAGGGTAGGGCTATCAATATAGGTACCCTATAAATCCTCTTACTATCAATCATGCGCATGTGGGCTCATTAGCAACACAGGGTGGGCGCGCGGTCGCTGTGGGGCGAGACCTAAGCCAATGCAACTGTAAAGAAGGGGCTAATCATGGCATGTGGGTTTGGGGCTTAGGGTTGCGGGTGTAGGGGCCAAAATAATTAGAGACTCTAGGGCTTAGGTTGTAGAGAATCCGCGTTGCTCTTGTGACTTTGTTTACCTCCCCATGGGTTTGGTAGAGCTCTGGTGGCAGTTTGGTCCACTAGGCATGATCCCATCTTCAAGACTCCTGGTACAATGTAACTCTAGGCCTCCAAACAGCCCCAAATAGGTAGCAGGTATAGATTTTCGGGCCCAATCTTGATTTCCAGGGAAAGCCTCTTGGGTGCTTATAAAGGTATTCTGGGGACATCTACCGCGAGCCAACCCTAGTGACACATGTACTTTTCTAGCAAATACTGGGTTCTTGTTGAAATACTATTAAACAAGGTCTTTTTTAATTGATATTGGACCCAGGTATCCATAAAAATGTAGAATTTTGTTCTACAAAGCCCAGAATACTTAGGCTCCAAAGTAACTATACCTAGGATGCCCTTAGCAATATACTCTGTGTAGGCACCTAACAGTTTAGGGGTTTGGGGTTCGGGGAAAGTCAACACGTACACGTGAAGGTGCTTGGGAAATTCATATCAGCAGGCCGCAGGGATAGATTAGCGGGTAAGGTTTAAGGGTTTAGGGTTCCGGATTTCGAGAATTACAGCTTGGGTACTGTCCCCACCCTGCAACAGTCTACAAGAGGGCCACTATCAAGGGCGATATATAGATATGATAGAAATATTCGCCAGTTGTTACAGAAGGGGGGGGGGCAGTACCCAAATTATAAATCCCCAGGTATCTCACATCTTCCTGCTGTTCCAAAAAGTGCTCCTGTCTAACTACTTGGGGACCCCTAAGCCCGAAAGCTGTGTGGCAATTTGCATCTGGGTCTCGAGGAAACTTATTGCCTGGGCAGGAAGCTTCGCAAGGCTCCTACTCTATGTCGGAAACCCTAAAATTTGCGAAATAGAACAAGCCCCCACTCCCTAAGATGGACATCTGAGGGCCCCCCAATGAACAAGAATCAAATGGACAAGAGTACGGACAAATGAAATGGATGCAAAGCTATATAGGGTTTAGAGGGATTAGGGTTTCCAAGAAGTAGGGTTCTTTTTCTTGAGGGGTTCCTTATGAGAAAGGGTTCTACTAAAATGGGATTCACATTGGGGTCCCCAATTTGCAGTCCTAGTCTTGAGGGTCTGGATAACAGCACACTCCAGGCTCATAGTGTCTTGAACCTCAACCCCAAACCCTAAACCCTAAAACCCTACGTAAACCCTAAGACCCTATACCCTATACCCTCAAACCCTAAAGCCTAAAGCCTAAAGCCTAAACCCTAAAACCCTAAAACCCTAAACCCTAAACTCTACACAAGCAGGGATCCCAAGGACCCCCCCAAGTCACGGTCCCACGCGGTTAGGGTTTAGGGTTTAGGGTAGAACTCCCAGATGCGCCGAAATCAAACCCTGCATGATCTCCACCGCACACTCAAACTCCACATGTTAACCCCTGGATACCCTAACGCCTGACCTCCCAGCTCCGAATCCCCAAAACAATTAAACTGGCGCCTCCCGTAGACAAAACAGACACACAAAACACAAGTTGCAACACAATCATACCATACACTACAATAAGACTATTATAGCAGGGACATTACCATACGAACGCTGTAAATCCGAGGTTCCAGGTACAAATTGAGTAGATACCTAGGCCCCAAAGTAGGCATATATAGGAACCTGTTTGGACCGTAAACCCTGAAACCACTAAGCACAAAACCCTAAATGCTATCTGAGCTATAGTCAACATTCCCCAGATAATTAATGGACATGCCTTCCTGAAGGACTATATTAGGGACTATACGACACTAATACTAAACTACAAGAGGGACACCTGTGTCCAGTGTCAATGGCCCCTGGGGTAACCTTATACACCCAAATCTTACCTGTTCCATATCCTTTTCCAGTTGATGATTGGTTATACGGTGGTGTCCATTTTCTTGTCCTTTCCCTAATATTGACAGTAGCTCATATAATCCATATAAACCCATATATAAATACCATCTAAAGAGTTTGGACCCTAAACCCTATATAGCACCCTTTAAGGAGTTTAGACTGCAGCTCACGTACATACCTGGACCCTTTTGCTCCCTCTTGGGACCCCGACGGCTGTGCTTGGACAGGGCAAGGGTGCCAATTGCCTTCCGAAGATGAAGGTGAGGGTTTAGGGGCTAGGGGTTAGGGCAAGGGATTGGGATTTAAGGCTCAGGGTTTAGGGTTTAGAGGTTAGGTTTTGGGGTTCAGGGTTTAGGGCTTGGGGTTTAGGGTTCAGAGCTTAGGGTCTAAAGGGTTTGTGGTCCAGGGTTAAGCTGGGTTGCTGATAGCGAACCTAAGTTAAGTTACCATCATACGGTGAATATTAGGGCTTCCGTATTTTGGTGACTCATTGAAGTTCCTTGGCAGCAACCCAGTTAAGGGATGTGGGCATAAGGATTTGAGATTCGGGTTTGGATCAGGGTTTAAGGTTTAGGCATAAACTAGGGTTGGGGTTGAGGATGTAGGTATAACCCAAAACCCTAAACCCTAAAGCCTAAACCTCGAAACCCAAAACCCTGAGCCCTAAACCCCTAGCCTTCGGGGGATAAGGGTTTAGGAATGCAAGGCTGCGCTGCCTGCGGTGGAGACACCTCCACCCTTGGCTTGCTCGACTTCGGGTTCAGCCTCAGCTCGCATTTCTCGAAATATACGGATAATGGAAGGAAACTGGAAACTACTATATGATATTGGGATTATATTGGGGTACTATTGGGTAATATTGGGATAACATGAATTATGGCCGGCACCAATTTACACCAATGCTGTGTAGGATTCGGACATGACATTTAATGGAAAGTATGGCAGGGGAGGGGGAACCCAGGTCTGAAAGAGCCTCATTGGCCCAGCTGTTTAGCCTGAGGGGCTATTGCAAACTTTGAAACTTTTGCTCTAGAAGTACCAAGACGAGAGAGAGAGAGAGAGAGAGAGAGAGAGAGGGAGGGGAGGGGCATGGGTACTCTGGGTGTCTTATGTGCCAGAACTCTAGAGATCATGGCAGTATAATGTAGTATGGTGAATGTATATACAAGGTCATGGTGGAGTTATGGCATCAACAATTGCATTAGTGCTGCCCTTTTGCGCTGCTGCTGGCCATCTCACGACAAGATCAAGCAAATAAATCGAAATCTTCCTCCCCGCTGGGACTGGGAGTTTCGGCCTCCAGCACCGAGCTCAGGGCTTCTTGGTAGCGCTGCTCCGTGGGCATGGCACCCCCGGCTTCCAGCAGCAAACGCGCAGCTCCTTTGCGGCGCCCGTCCACTGCATACATCAGAGCTGAAGAGCCCCTGTTGTCAAGCAAGTCTGTGGCAGCGCCTGCCTCCAACAAAAAGGCTTGCAACTTCAACATGGCCAGCTTCACAAGTCGCCATGAGGGCTGTGCGGCCAGCAAGGTGTTGCGCAACGGATCGCGGAGGCTGCGCGCCAGGGAGCAAGCCATCCTTGTCGGTCAAGTTCGGGGAAGCCCCAGCCTGCAGCAACACTCGCACCACTTCAACATGTCCCGTTTCAGATGTCTCAATCAAGGGCGTCCCAGGCAAGCGAGTCCAAAGCAAGCCAGTCACGTCCAGTGCAGCCGCAGTGGCCGCAGCCTCCAGCAACAAGCGCACCACCTTGATGTGGCCATGACCGGATGCCTCGCTGAGAGCATCCGCGTACCATTGTAAAGCCGGCGACGCGGGGGACAGGGCATGTTGCCCCCAACCCCTGATGAGCCCTACATCCAGCAGCAAACTTGCAACCTCAACCTGGCCCCCACGAGCTGCACTTAGCAAACGTGTGCCGTCGAGCGGGCCATCGACCTCATGGGATCCAAATCCGGCCTGCACAAGCAGGTGCACAACTTCTAAATGGCCAAGCTTCGCAGCCCAATCCAAACTTGCGCTGCCCTCCTCTGCAGCTGAAGCCTCCAAAAGTGTGCGAACGACTCCTGCATGCCCATTGTTCGATGCACATAGGAGGGCGGAGAATCGTCCTTCACGACGCGACTCGGGATCTGCCCTAGCCTCCAGTAACGCGCCCACGACCTCGGTATGTCCAGCACCGGATGCTACGGCGAGACACTCAGGGGAGATGCGCGCCCCAGCCTGTAGCAGCAGACGAACAATTTCTAGATGTCCAGATTCAGACGCACAGTCGAGTGGCAAACCTCGTGGCAAGTTGGGGTCATGGAAACGCATCAGTACATCTTCAACCTCAGAGACACGGCCATCGCGGACTAATCGCAGAAAATCCTGCACCTCCGCGTGGGGTGTAGTGGAAAAAGTATTCCGCACGACCAGCTGCACATCGCCAGGCGAGAGAAGAGAGGCGGAGTCATCCTGGATCTCGCAGTCTTGCAAAACCACTTGTCGGAACAGCGGTACTGCATAGGTTTGGTGCAGGTGGTGCTTCAAACTCCTCACATCACTCAAGCTCTCAACGGGTATGGCGGCCAACATCTCCCCGGAAGCCATCCAAACACGCAGCATGCCTGAGATCTAATGAAAGTGGAATGGCGCCACATCAAAGTGGAATGGTGACACACCTCTTTGCACTTGCAGCCCTGGAACTCGCGTTTCGATATGCGCCGATGTGACCCCTATATACCTTTACCTACTCTGTATAGCCCTACATACCCTACCTGTTCCTTCATGGCACCCCTATACATTTACATGATAATAGCGACAATTCATGGTAATTACAACCCACTTAGGGCCCTTAAAACTACCCTTTTAATTTACCTCATAAAAACCCAATATAACCTTCATATAACCCCAATATAACCCTAATATATCCCCAAGATAACCCCAGTGTAACTACTTGGAGGCGCAGGGGGACTTAGTAAGTAGGTTAATAATGGGGAAAACTGGGGTAACTATATGGGTCATAGGGGTTATTAACCTACTTACTAAGTTCACCTGACCCTCCAAGTAGGGAGCCCCTGATTGTAGTGCGCTTTGGACAGCTGACATCGCGAGCAAGCTCAGGATTCGCTGCTGAGGGGGATACCTACCTCACATAACCTAGCTTATATCAAAAGGGGTATATAGGGACAATCTAGGGATAATGGAAAAGAAAATGGAAACTACTATTTAATTAGGGTTTATAGGGTTTAGGGTATGACCGTAAAGGGGCCTGTATAAGGGATTACATAGGGGAGCATTATCGGGGTTATTAAGTGGGATACTAGGAGTTTAGACTATAGCTCATAATGACCGTGACGCTACAGTTGGGGGGGGTCGTCTTAAAGGTCCTTTAAAGGAAGGAAAAAGCCTTTAAACGGGAAATCCCACTAAGGAAGGACCTTCCTTATTGCAGTTTTGGGTGCAGGCATTTTGGACGACGACCACGTACGGTTCCAGTTTCAAGTTGATTCTCCATTTTCTTTTCCTTTTTGTTCAACGGTAAGAAAGTATACCATGATAGGGGCCGCTATGGTATTCCACAAAAACCGGTTTTGGGCTATTGTTGTTTACCTTCTTTTGGGGTTCAGGTAGGGCTTGAGGGTTCTTCAATGCAACTCCCCCAGTCCTCCTAAGTTTAGGGTGTAGGAAATCTGGCTAGATGGCAGGCAGAAAAACGCTAACGTTGTAGCCTTTAGCTGATGGTACTGCAAATTGTTTCTGCTAAACCATAAACCCTAAACCCTAAACCGCGTGTTTACTGGGCCTCCCAATGCCAGGGCCTCCCTGAACCTAAGCTCAGTTTGATGCACACCTTGGCTCTTCTGTTCAGACCCTGAACCGAATATCTCGATTCTGGTCCTATTCTGGGCCATACCTGGGAGACGTGTATTCTGCGTCATATGTGAACAAGTGCTCATTTTTCTACGGACTTTCTTTTATTCTTTTGAAGTTCAATCCCTGTCAGCGACAACTCAGAACCAACCCTGGACAAGAACTGTCACCTGCCCGCAGTTTACACCAGGAAGCCGTATTGCAATCTTGAACTAGCACGAGATCTCTTCTGAGCGTGGTGCACTGGAAGCGCAGACACATCTGTCTGCGCGACCTCGCAGCAGAGCCAGGTACACTGCCAGCTTTTGGGATCTGGGATGTCCTTTAAGCCCCTGGAACATTATTTACTATCCTAGTCCCCCTTAGGTAGATAGAATATGGCTTTGGGTATATTATAATCAGATCCCCATAAACTCCATATTCTATCTACTTAAGGGGACTATTATGGTTCGCTACAAAATAGTGGGGACAATTAAAAAGGATCCCAAAGGACAACTCATGGATGGTTAGATGGGGGAGCCTAAGCCCTGCCTGCAAACCTCGGACATTAGTGTAGAAGCCGTGTCTTGGATCCTTCCTAAGATGAGATGACGAAACACAAAACACTACGCTTCCACAGAGCGCGTGCTTTATTCCCTACAAGCGACAAGCCTCGACCATCCAACCAGCCCTAACCAAGGACATCTTAACCATAAACAGGTTCATACTGCATCCTATGAATCTCGTCGCAGGAAACTCCAGATGCAGGTTAATTTAGAATAACTGTCAATTCCCAATTTAAGGTCATTTTGGTACTTTTCCCCAATATAAACCACCATTTAGGGTGAGGTCGGGCGAGGTCTCTTTAAATTGCCGGGCAGATGCCCTGTGAAACCTCATCCAAAGCCGGCTGCTGACTCAGCTTAACTGTGGAAGCTAGCTTCGGAGACCTGTTCGACCTTGGATCGCCCCGGTCCTAAACCTATGCGGTTTAGGTTGGGTCCTGGTCCCACACATTAACAGTCTATACTAGAGGTCATATTAAGGCTCTATATGACCATATTATGAATACCATCCAACTGCTAATAAGCGTGGGCAGTCCCCAAGGTTTAGGTTATAGGGCTTTGTGACAACAGCCTTTCAGGCGGAAAAATCAAAAGGCATCCCCCTAGCTCCTAAGGGCTGCAGCAAAACTCCCACACCAGAAAGCCTCTTCCCTGAGACCTACAACCTCGCCGAACCTCAACCCCGCATCCGCCAGTAGATTTGGGATTTCGTCAGCCATCTTGACGTTCATTAGAGTTTCAAATCCGTTTTCGTGTAAACAACCACAGCCGTGCAAAGATCCAGTGACTGTGACCCTGTGGGCAGCCCTAGGCTCTAGACACAAAACCCTAAATCCTAAACACTAAACCCTGAAGCCTATACCATAAGTCCCTAAGCCCCAAACCTTAAAACCTAAACACCGAACCCTAAACCATCACCCCCAACCTGAAGTCCCTAAGCCCTAAACCAGAACCCCCTCCCCCGTGGTGGGCAACAGGCCTTTGCTAGCTCGCGAGTCGACGACTTCACAAGGTCAAGCAGCTCGATGCCGGGAGGGTTGGCCTGGAGTTCTATATACTGTCACTATCAGGCGCATTGGAACCTTTACCACACCAATACAGGGAATCAACTGGAGAAGAGAATGGAAAATGAAACGGAAGCTGGGATTATGTTTAGGGTTTAAGGTTTAGGGCCTAAGCTCCTTAAACTGGGTTGCAGAGGGTTTAGGGTTTTGGCTTTAAGGGAGCTTGGTTTTCCCAACCCCCAAAGTAAGGATCCTGAAGCTATGACATGGCTCTTGTAATAATATAGGATAATTATGGATAATTTCTATATGGGGTTGGGTCAGGAAACCCTCTCATTAAACCCTAAACCCTAAACCCTAAGCCCTGGCTGATGGGCCGAGGAGGCCGAAGGACCGTCGGTTGTTTGTTTCGGAGTTTTCAGGTGGGTAGTTACCAGGTGGGTACACTTATATAAGCCTTATATGAGCCGTAGTCTAAACTCCTAATATCCCCCTTAATAATCCCTAAGGTAGTTCCCTATATAATCCCTTATATAACCCCCTTTAAGGAGATTAGACTATAGATCATATGAAGCTTATCTGTGAACACCAAGCTAGGACTATACAGGAGCAATGTACGGGTCTTGGAGGACTTGTTAAAGCCCAGGAACCTTGGCTGAGGGATTAGACCTCACAGAGCTGCCTCGGACTTGCAGAGATGATGGCTGCAGCAGAATTTGACAATAGGGTTTAACTTTTTTAGGTTGACATGTTTGTAAGGGTGCTATGATGGCTTCAGGGCCTTTCAGAACTTCATGGATGTTTCGACGGCGACAGACTTTGCGTTTCAAGTCCGCGCCTTCCCTAAGTTCTAAAAAGCTTCCGGCGCTGCGCGGTTCATACATAGTCCCCCTTAAGTAGATAGAATGTGGGGGATTATATATAGGGATGATGGGAAAAAGGAAACTACTATATGATAATAGGGTATACATTGGGGGTATAGTCCCCCCTTAAAGTAGATAGACTATGGGGTATATGGGTATCATATTAGAATCCACCCAAAGCTCTATTCTATCCACTTAGCGGAACTATAAGCTCAGGTGCGTCAGGGTCTTCCGGCCTCACTGCCGAAGAGAAAAACTGATCTGGCATCGTGCGTAAGCTGGAAGACCTAGGGCCAATCTATGTGGTCCAGGATTTAGAGGTTTAAGGTTTAGGGCTTTGGACAGGCTACATGGGCTACTAGGTCCCTGGGAAACCACTGGACCACCACACCACCGGGAGTGTACATCCAATCTCTGGGCTTGATATTTGGTAGCTTTCCTACATGGGAGGGACCCCAGTATAGACACCAATATACTCTAATCCTTATGATAGGGGAGGCAAGGATCTCTGACTTTTTCTTCAATGGTTCAGGGCTACTTGTAGGGTTTACGGTTTAGGGTTTCGAGTTTAGGGTTTGGAGTTGAGGGTCTTAAGGCTTAGGGGTTTGGGGAGCTTGGCTTTCCAAACGCACAAACTGCAAACAAAAACTACGCTGGAATGTCGAGGTACGATGGGGCTCTGACTTGTCAGAATGCTCTGATGGGAGGGTAAACATTGCCATTTAGGCAAGAGTATCGCTAAACACGGGTAATGGTACTAGCTTCTCAGACCGCATAAACCCCTCACGCTAAGCAATCACGATACAGAGTTCTCTAAACTCTAGACCCCAAACCCTAAACTCTATGTGACCTCTATGACCCTCTTCAGGGGAGTCAAAACATCCCAACAAATCCTACATGATAGTTGTCAACGACATAGTTCTCCCCAACACAGCCTGCAAGTAGGTGTTCCTTTTTTTGCTAGGGAGGAGCGCCTTTAAAAGGACGTGTTCTCCCAATGGTTTAGGGTTTAGGGGTGCCTTCTTTATAAGGGCCTTTAGATTAGAACAACCCCCCACATAGAACCCCTTTCAGCCTCAAACCCTGAACACTGAATCCTAAATTCTAAACCTTAAATCCTAAACCCCAAACCCCGAAATTCAAAAACCTTAAACCGTAAATTCCATGCTGGGCGCCTCACCTGCTTCTGCACCTGGTCCACTACCGCCTGCCAAGGTAGGGCCGGTTGGGGGGTTAGGGTTCAGGATTGGGAGTAAGGGTTAGGGCAATGGGTTTAGGGCGAACTTCCTGTAGAACCGATTTCTGGGCTA